ATTTTAAAGGGGAGTGCACAGTAAGGGTATTATCGACATTCTTCGTTTTTCTTAAATTCGTGGAATAAAAACAACTCAAGTTTTCTGGAGCATAAACTCGTGCTTATTTCATCTGGTAGCCGGCACTTTATTTTGTTACTCAATTCGAACTTTTCATTCAATCATAGTCCGCGGTGTTTTATCAAACCAATTCAGAATTAGAAGGCCAGTTGTACGATAAACCATTTCAATTTGGTGTCTCTACAACAAACCATCTACATCAATGATATTTTGCATTTACATACAGTTATAAATAATGAATTGTGGCCTCGTGCCCCGCGGGAAAACAGAAAGAATATGCCTCGTCAGCTGTTGCAAAAAACTCCTGCTTCTTTCTTGTTCTGCGAAAAGTGTTAATTAACTGATATATTCACGATGTTATTTTCAAGAGCACTGGACGTAAAACAGCAGCTCATAATTGCAATCGATCTCTGCTGCTGTTCAAGAGCGACTTTTCATCTGGATTATATCACGTATGCGAGAAACATGGCGCCACAATTCATAAAATCAGTCAATGAATTTGGAGTTTTTAGAAATCGCGTCTCGTGCGTAGTCCAAAACTTAAGTACAATTTGTTACCACTTCAAGCGAATATCGAGGGTTCTCAGAAATTAAAAAATTTTGTCTTTGTATTCAATAAGTTTAGGGCTCACCTCACTAAATTTCTTTCACTTGGAAAGGAACCCACACAATTTAAACTGATATGAAAAATTCATAAAATTCGCTTTAAGTGTTTGAGAAAAGCAAATTCTAACAATCTAGGATTCAATGAAACCCTTCAAATAATTAAAATTTATCAAACAAGCAAAAACGTTCCTCTAAAAGACAATATATATAATTTGTTTCATCGTAACAGTTGCTTAAAATCACCTCCCTGTATTCTTTTGGATGTTTCTCACTCATTAACAAGATTTGACACTCAGTGACCTACTATAAAGTCGGCTAGACTCAAAGGAGACAAGCGGAAGATCTAGGGTTTAATATTGCCTGTTGGACTTCGCATCGAAAGAATTGGGTTCGAGTCCATGTCTGTTCTGTGTGTTGGGTTCTTTGTCGTTGCATTAAACTCTCACTATGCCTATCTCCATCCAGGAATATCAACGAAAATAGAAAGCAATAATCTCTCCGAGACCTAAACATAATGCACCAGCGTGGTAAACTACCGTCTCAGCCAGCTATGGGTTAAATACTTTAAACTGATGTCTTTAAAACAAACTTTGAAACCAAAATGACTTTAATACCGACTGAAATACAACTGTGGTATTCAAAATTAGTTTCTAGTGTTTCTATAGATTCTCGTCGCGTCCCTTTGCAAATTGATACTCGGGCTAAATCCACTTGGAGTTTATTTCGAACTACATTCTGAGACAGACTTCGAATCGCACATGCGAAATTTGTGGAAGGCCCATTGAAATTACAACAGAAATCAAGTTGTCGCTTTTTCTAAACAATGCATAAGTTTCCCACTGTCCCTTTTTTTTTAACTGTTCATCGAATGATGAGATTATTTTTGTTCATGTATTTTCACGAACACAATGTTGCTTCCGAGACAACTGCACCCGTATGAAATTGTTTGGCAACATATAGATTGGAATCACAATAACCACATTGAATCTGATGACAGTGCACTTTGAAACAACCATTATGATTTCTAGCACCCAATATTTTCGGCGGGACTTATCAGTCTTGATAAGTCACTTGAATGATATATTTTTCCTATAGAAATGACATCTATGAATGCTTGATCAATTTGAATCTTTACGGCGCGCAACAGCTTCATCTCGTGTGGTGCAAGCTGTGGCTTTAAGAGGCTAGAGGTTATTCATTTCCTTGATCACAGCATGAATGCAAAGAGCTCTTCACTAATACAAAGACCTTCAAAGGCAACTTTGGAACTGATGTAACCTCCAGGCAAGTTTTCGTTTAGATCTGCAAGTAGTACATGAAGAAAAGGTTTTTCTTCTCAAATCTTCAGCCCAGCTTATGAGGTAAATTCGTTATTTTAACTTTACGAACATTTAAGCACCTTCTTCGAAGTGAACACGAATATTTTTTAATTATTTAGTAATGCCTATCACCAAGAACAATACAGTTAGATTCGACTTTCACGTTAAAAAACAAGGAACCATTTTTGAAAACTTCCTACAGGGTTTCGCGGATTCATAGATGATTTGTCCAATCAGAGAGAGAAATGTCGTGTGAACATTTTGGGGTTGCTTAGTAGCCTAGATGTTGCCAAGTAACGTGTTCGATCAGATTACTGAGTGAATATTTAGTGCTCGTAGTTCTGCTGACCGTCCTTTTCAGCTGACATTACCAATTAGGTGGAAATCATCATTGATCAAGACACTCCGGAAAAAAAAGATATTTGTTGTGAAAAACAGGAAAGCTTCCCTGGGATAAGGAAATCACTTTGGCAGAACACAAATTTGACAAACTTGCAACTGTTTCTCAATTGCAATAAATTTTTTCCATCTGCCCAGAAGTCGCCACCAATCAAATGCAAATAGACAGTATTTATTCACTATTTCCTGAGTGATCTATCCATTAATTAAATTGAAAATATGAACCTTTTGCGCCAAAAATATAACTATGTTTGTATGGCCTGAGTCTGACATTTTAAATCACCTTCTACACCAGTTTCAATTTTCAAAGGATCCATTTTCTCGGTGCGTCAAAACTGTCCACAGTGGATCAGATAAATCGAACGTCGCAAATTTCTTTCAATTAGTTGGCATATGCTGCTAGGATTTGGAATAACAATCAGGTTCACAAGCTTTCATTATTCAAGGCTACGATAGTTGTGTAAGTTGATTTTTAATTTTGTCTGATTACAGTATTTTTTGGCAGCAAGGAGGGAATAATAATGGAAAATATCAGGAAGAAGAGATAATTTGATCCATCCTCATATCATGGTTGTCTTTCTATAGTTTGCCCTGCAGTTCGTTTTTATGAGTGAATAAATTCGTCAAAGAAAGATTTTTCCCGCCGGCAAATCACTCTCGAATAATCTTAATAACTTGCAATCTACTACAAAGTAGGCGCGTACGCTTTAGGATCTCTATGATGTATTAAAAATCTTGCAAAGCGACTCGTGTCGAATGTGTACACAGCGCTTATCACTTTTCAAGTTCGAACGCGCTGATTTGCATTTATGGACACTTTAAAGCTTCAAATAGGGATTGAGACGTCCTGGAAAAATGTAACTTCAAAGAAGGATTCTGATCTCGCGGTGAGGGAAAAACGAGGTCAATCTCAGATATTTTTTTGGGTAAATCAATTTTCTCCGGTTTTCTATGATATCAATCACCTGAAGTAAAGTGGATGTGACCGGATAAGCGCGTCGATTTCATATACATTTCAACTTGACAAGCCGGTTACTAATATCAAACAGCTCAAATTTATTTCGCTGGGTCAGGTGCAATATTAAAAATACAGAAAGTCAGGGATTGTTTCATATTCTGTCCGAGATATTTTTTCAGCAAGTGACTATTCTTGGCCCTTAAGTACTTTGCAAATTTTGAATTTTTATTTCCCCCACAACAAGGCCACTTGAGATTTGTAGCCTAAAAATTTTGTATCTAGGCTGTCAAGCAACATGATGGTTTAGAACTGATCATAGAGGGTCTTCTGTTAGCTAAGGAAATTTAGTTGCGTAGCTCAAAATTAACTTTACGAGTCGTTCGAGGTTGTCGCTATGAAAAGCTGCGAAATTTGTATTTTTAAAAATATAAGAGTTCCTACTTTCTCAGTTTTCCTTGTGAGCATCTACCTTTTTTTTTTTTTTTTACTAATGTCTTTCCAGTGTTTTATCTATATTTTGTCTCAGTAGACGTAATTATCCGTAAGACCCCACTTAATCCTGTAATGAAAAAAAATCATCACCCGCTTAGAATATCAGTATAGTTTCATACTAAAGTCGCTTTATTTTCTAGCGGGATCACATCTTGAAAAATAGCTGTTATTGATTATATTAAACCTGTGTCTCTTTAGAAAGTCTTTTGAGCTGCACCTTTGTTTGTTGTCTCATTGAAAGTTTTGCCTATTAGTTTCATCACGATTTTGAAATCAAAGTTTCTTGTGGGTCTGTAATGTATTGATTATTATTTTCGACAAACGGGGGATAAATTGTTTGGTGTAAATTAATGGATTTCCTAACCGTTTTATTAAAACAGGTTCAAAAATTGAAAAGATCACTGGTGGGGTTAGATTTATTGTTTGGCGGTGATGAACCTCAGAAGTTACATGTATTGATTATATTATTTTTGCTCGATTTGAGGGAAATAAGAAAATCCACAAACAGCTGCTGAACCGCCTTGAAGACGATCTCATAGTCTAACCTTTCCTGCGTTTGACTTGTAATAATTCCATGTTATCCGCAAGCTTGAGGGCAGACATTTCGTCAAAGGTTAGGAATTTAAGCCTAGTTTTACTCAAGAACTCAGGAATATGCGGGCGCTCTTTGAAGTTGTACCCTAACAAGCGACGCGGTTTCCCGAAACATTCTACGCATGCTATGCGGGCTTCGATGTTTTAAATTTGACGCTTTTTATCGATTCTACGCCTGCAACTTGTTAGACAATTGTTAGCATTGCGTGCTTGTGTCCACCCACCCGGCTACACTCTCTCATCGAGTAGTCTAGTATTGACTTGTTCACAATTCCCTTCACAAAGAAGAGCGATTAACTATCTCAGTGTATTGTAGAAATTATATGAAATGCAGACCTGGATGGACGTCATCATTCATAAATGCTTTTTCATGGCTTGGTTCAGACAATACTACAATTCAATGAAAGCTTTAAAAGTCGTGAGGTCTCTTGTAAATGAAAGAACAATGACGAATGAACAGCAGAATGAAAAAGTCAGCATTGTATACACCGACTCTATCGACAGAGATTTTTTCGACTTGTGATCAACTATCCCGACAATTAGAGAAAATGGCGAAAAGTGAGTTTCATAACATCATTACTGGTATAAACAACTTAATCCTGTTTGTAGTAATTTATTGTTTTCAATTCAAGAAGTTCTCTGGTCTGATATAAGACAACTTTTATTTTCGGGAGCAAATATCGTGCAGCACAGTGTACAAAACGTTCGCTATCCGCACCTGAGGGTCGTTTGGGCAAAAAATTACCAAGATCTTCCTCTAAGATGCTACAACGGGAATTTTCAATAAAAACTGATTCTTTCGGGTACTGCTGTTACAATAGAACGCCAGAAAAAGATACCAACGTGGTCATTTCACTCAGTACGCTTATCCAGAACAGAATATTGAAACTCATCAGAAAAGAAAGTTATCGATCAACCAGATTTATACATCCCATTCTATTTTCAGCAAAGCTAATTAGTTAAAGTCGTTCCTACTTATTTTGACACTCGTTTTTAAATATTGTTTACTGGCCAGAAATCGCGACAATCCACATTTGGCGCGGAGCTCGTTAGTAAAAGTGAACAGAAAAAGTGGTTCGAACACAACCTAGGAAATAGACGAAGATAGCGGCTTTTGAAAATGTTTTGCTACTCGCGGCATCTAAATACCTGTCAAACGTGGGTCAACTGTCACAGCAGTGAACATAGATTTTAGATTGGACCACTCTAGAAACGGTTATTTTCTTTCAATTAGTTGGCAGTCAATACTCGTCTTTTGTTGGAAGCTTTTGTGTACTCCTCCCTAACCCTGTTTATCCCGAGGCATTACAATCACCCAAGGGATTTCTGTTGCTATTCCGTCGGATGGGTCTGTTATTTTACCAGCATTCAAAACACTTTGTCCAGATTTGGGCTTTTTGTTTACATAGACCATTACAATAAACAGTCAGAGATTAAACCGAGCCGCTCAATCGATCAGAAAAAATGCTATTGTGAAGTCCATCCAGCCATAAAGCGCGGATTTTTGTGCCAGTTTGCTACCGATACCGACAAAACGTCAGAGAAAATGTCTTGAAGTGCATTTGATGACAAAAGAACGACATTAGTGAAAACTGCTTTTCAAACCTTTGTCGGAAGCTCCGTTGGAGCAGCTGGTACAAGAAAATCCGAATAATCAGCTTTAAGTGAACGTGATTGTTATCCAGTAATCACAAAGAGAAATTTGCATAGAACCTGTACATGTTCTATTGTGTCAATAAACAGTCAGGAATAGACTTAGACGCACTCTTCTCTGAAATTCAGTGCCTTCAGGTATGTTTCTTGTCCATTTTACACTAACATCGCTTGGCTTGTTTTGGTTTACCATTTGTGAGGATTTATTTGCTGCGATACCAAATTCTGGAGCTCTTATTTTGGATGTTGTTTGTCTTAGATTGTAACGACTGTTAACTATAAACACGAAGTAATGGGCATTGAACGCTGCTAAAAAGTCTCCGATTTCTCATTGCTAAGCTGGTGTGAAAATATTTTTTTCCACGAACTGGCTTTCATTGCGATGAGCATAAACGGTGAATTTTTAAAGTACCTGTATACCATTAAAAGGATAAATTTCTTTTGATTCCCTACTCAATTGACAGTCATACAACACCGGTTGGACAAAGGCTAGGTTTGAAATTCCTTGGGGTGAAATGAAAGTGAACACAAATAGTTTGTTTTTCGAAACTCGTCATTTCTAAACAAAACTGCAAAATTGAGGTAGTGCACATTGTGTCCATAATTACGTTTTCCTGCTATAGTTTCGTTGCATTTCGAGGAATATTGGCAGTCTTGAAATTGCCGTTTGAAGAGGCCCAATTTGTAAATGTATTATTCCGACAAATGCACGCCTCTGTATCACGGTTGGAGGTCTTTGCAGCGGGAAAGGTGTAACTCTATACTCAAAAACCACTTTACAGTGTTGTTTCCAACCTCCAGCTTCATGTCTGGTTTTCATGTTAGTTCATTTGGACAAAAATTCGAAAACGATTGGAAGGAGGTGTAAAACTCACGTAGAAATTTCACGCAAATTCTCTATTGACTAATGCATGATCATTTCAAATCTTAGTTTGTTAGGGCAAAGGCAGGAAAAGCACTTAACTTCTGAAAGGAAGCACGCATCCTATTTCCTCTGACGTGCAGCGGAACATCACAGAGAAAACTGGCCTCTGCGTGTTTTTCAACTGAGTTGGAATCTTATTTAAAGGGGAACACGTTTTAAAGAATATTAAGTTGTGTGGTTCGCCTTGGGTGCATGATTCGATTACTTTGGGTCTTTCTCAGCAAAGTATGTCTTACATTGCCAGTGAGTCAGCGTAGTGCTATACATCAACTAATGTTACGTTCCATGCTTATCATCTAGATCTAAGTCGTGGAATGTGATGAAGACTTTTTGAAACCCAACCAGGCAGAGAGGTATTTTTCACTTCAGAAACGATGACGGATAAGAGAAATTCGTAGATCCCTCCTGGGAGCATTTATCAAAACATCAACGGATTAGTGAAGTCAGCGTTGAAACATTCCAGAAAAATTTGCAGCAGCTGATTTTTTACCTGTCAAGACATTAAAAAGCGCGGTGACTTCGTGAACTGCTTAAAAACTTCAAGACGCATCCTGAGAGCATCGTGGAGAAATCTTAAAATAGAAATGGGAGACACAGATAACATGACAATGTCATCACCGAACCACACAGAGACTCATCAGCGATCTATTCTAGACACTCCTGAGGGTAAAGCACAGCTTTCTATTTACGTTCTCACATTTCTGCTGGGTTCTTTTGGGAATGTCCTCGTATTACTGGTGGTTCGAAGTAAAAAACATCGAACCGTCAACGATCTCTTCATTGTCAATCTGGCCATCTCGGACCTTTTGATGATTGGATTCCTACCAGTTTACTCGGCGAAAATTCTGGTACAATTCCACCACAGTACGGCATTCTGCAAGAGTGTTTTTCCCATAGCTACAATGACGTTTTTTGTAAGTATATTCACACTGACATCCATGGCAATCCATCGCTGCTATGTCATCACAAACCCGTTTAAGCCCGAAATGCGAAAATGGAAGATCATGGCTTGGTTGGTTGGCGTGTGGGTTGCGTCCTTTATAGCTGTTCTTCCTCTCGTGCTGGCCATAGAGGGAGGATTACCTGGAACAGCTGATTGCCCCGAATCTTGGTATTCCGATGCGCTCAGAAAAGCTTACACAGCATGCTTGTTCGTGCTGCAGTATTCTCTTCCTTTGGCCGTCATCACTGCAGCGTATATACGGATAGCAGTGGATCTGCTCAAATCAAGCACAGAGAGATTTGGACCAGGGAAAAGTCTCAATAATAATCGGCGTGATGGCAATGCACTGTCGCGTCTCGCATGCAAAGAAGATATCCAGGTATTAAAAACCGTAGCTGTGATCGTGTTAGTGTTTGCAATTTGTTTGTTACCTCTTCAGCTCAGGTGGATGATGTTAGACTTTGGTGGGGAAACCCAAAGGCGCATTGCCGGTCAAGTGTTTGTAAAATTCGACGTCCTCCTCTCAATATTTCATAGCTGCCTTAATCCTCTGGTTTATGGGACCCTTACGAGGCGCTTCAGAAGAGGCTATATCAGATACTTGATATGCCTGTGTCCTTGTTTCAAAGATCGTGTACCCAATGGAACTGCGAGCACTACGGGGTATCATTATCAGGACTGTAGCTCACCTACCAACCAGAATGGTTCAGCTTTGGATCACGCTGAAAGGACACCTCTTGGACGAGAAAGCCCTGAACACGAAACGAAGAGCACTGAAGTGTAACCTGCTTCTTTCATATCCAATCAGAATATGAAACTACAAGTGCGGGGCTGGAAAACCTTCTGCTCGAGGGAGCATTTCTGAAGTCAACCTGTTTGAAAAGGCTTACCAGGGGAGCACTGAACAGAGACTTGCTCTAGTAACAAACTGGCTCATAACGACTTCTAGCATAGATGGCCTTCCTTGTACTACAGTTACATCTCTCGAACAGTTTACTGCGATTATTGCAATAGTAAGTAAAATGAGCTTACAAATAGAGAAAAGCATGCTTTTGTCTCGCAGCAACATTCACACGGAAGAAGATACCTCAGGCTAAATTATCTTTCTTTTATTGCTCAGCGCTGATCTTAATAGTGATTCAATTCTTTATTTTAGAAGAACTACGTTTTTTCGGTTTAAAAATACACAGAAATTTGCATGTGACGGAATCACGATTTCATCGAAAAAGTTTTTGCATGCGTATCTTAGATGTCTTTAATTTTTTTTTTCTTTTATTTCACCATGCTTCGAAAAGGCTATATAACTTAGGAGTAAAATTATTCGCATCTTGTACTGTTTTCATTTGTTTTTCATCGTGTTTCATGATAGTTTATTCTTCAAATCTTTGACAATATTTGTCTGCCAACTAAGGAGAGAATTCTGAACATTTTACCGTGGAACACCTCTAAAGCTTATAAGTAAGTAACTTGGAATCTTTTTTATGAGTGATATATGCTCAAGTTATTGCCAATAACATGGAATAGACGTGTTTGATTATAATTAGAGAGAACTAATATTTTTAACATGAAGGAGTAATTTAGTCTTAATTTGATACCCTATCTACACCTATACTGGTCAGCGAGAAGAACAAAGGTCACCTTATGCAGAAAACAAGAGCACTTTCCTTTACAACTCGCTGACACTGCAGTTTTATATTTTAGTGTGTAAAATGGCATTTACCTTAATTGAAAAATTATATTTTAAAACTGAGTTTGCTCATGAGCAAACAGTCGGATTAGCCGCGACATTTTGTAATAAATTTCTTGTATACACGGTATGTACAAGTGTTTTATTGAATTATTTGCGTTATGTTGACACCACTGATGAAAAAGAAAGTATTGAGCATACATTTATCTAAATTTATCGGTATGATGGCTTAATCTGATTTAAGAATTAACCAAAGGTTAGGTTTCTTTAACTTTCTAATGCTCCACTTAGATTGGTTGACGATTATTCCAGCATTGTAAACTAACCACTTGTGGTTTGTGGTTTTTTCATGCAATCAGTCTGGTTCGCGCTTTAATTGTCATCACATTTTCTATAAATTCGAGGTTATAAGTATTTTCATCTGGGGGCGAAGAGCTATGGCATGGGAACGTTTTACCTTCGTACAAGCCATTGCAAACCCGCATTGTCCTGCTCGGAGCCTTTTCATGAATCGTTTGGCTACCAAAACACCGCAAGAAGATTGAAATTGCTCACTTTTGAAATCATGCAACACTTAAAATTAAAAAAAATCCCTACTCTTTACACACTGTTCTAAAAAAAAAAAAAATGCCTCTAAATACAAAACAAACTGATATCCGCTTGCTTCTTTTATTCCCGTCCCTGTCGTTCTTGATGACCTGTAGGTTTTGAAAGACTGCTGCAGTTGATATTTGGTTTCTGGCAATTTACATTTGATCGCCAAGAGACATTTAAAATTGTCATTTCCCACAGGTCGACTTAGCTCTACCGCCGTTAAGACGAGTGCTGATATCTTACATACTGTACAGGTTTGTATTTCCGGTATTTCGTGATCCGTCATTGACGATTCGATATCATGTACAAATTGATTAATTACTGGGCTAATTAACGAGCGAAACTTCGAGAACAAGATGTTTCGTTTTGTTGCTGCTCTTAATCGATAGCGTGTGGAACACATATCGACACGCACTAAATTAAATCAAATTTACATTGGAAACTTTAAAAATTGTCAGGTATTTCATTGATATATAAAATGTTTTTACAACGTACATTACAAATTCTATGAGGGAAAACACTTATATTCCCGGTAGTAATTGGAGTAGAATCCTAAAGTTACCTTTTGTCCATGGTGTCTAGAAGTTTAGGAACTGAAAACACAAGGATGCAATTATAAAAAAAAAACGGATTCGAGGAGTGATGATAAACAAGTACGTCGTGTTAAATCTCCTTTCGCTTCTCGATAGATAACATCTGGGCAGATTTTAACTGTTTTGACTCTCAAGGATTAGATAAAAATTCACCTGCCACCAGGCATTCGTGGTAACAAAGCGTTAAGTTGTAACAGCTGCCAGGGAAATAAGGGAGTATGAAATTCAAGGTTATGTTTTATCCTGACCTCTTCTCTGAGCAAGTTCTGCCTTAAAAAAAAAAGGCTCAGTGCGTTCTCACGAGGGAGATAAAAGGCTCGAAGTACCAATGACTACGTATCTGATTAAAGACTAGATTGGATACTCGATGCGATTATACGTAAATAGAGCTGGTTATCATAAGCTCTTTACGACTTCGTAAAAATTGATAGAGCTCAATCATGTTTAAAAGACTTCTTCGTCAGTTTCAGAACTAGGTCATGCTTCAACCACCAATTGATAATTATGTAAGAATTGCATAACCTTTGATGAAAGTTTTACTAATAATTGCACATGGCCGTCAGTGTTTTCGCTTATTGTTGAATTGTTTCGAAACACTTTTTCACAACTGTTGAGTAAGCAGTTGGTGATTTACAATGTCCGTTAAAAGATCTCCGCTATGAACTTTTTCATCTACGTTGGCGATAGAACAGTCAAATGATAAATCTAAGTGGATTATTATCGAGCACCATTTGCTTTGACCTTCGCTGTATTGACTAAGCTGACCACGTTTATGTGATAATGACCTACGATAAGAATCTGTAAGAGAAAGGCAAATTCGTGGACAAATGTTTTGTTCGGACCTAATCGAAAGAAAAAATACAATCATAGTTAACCTTGCACTCTTTCATCATATGTGGCAAACTTATCGAGATTCTGATCAATATTATGACAATGTTATGACAAAATGTCATTTTAGAGACATGTGCATCCAATCTGTTCTTTGCCAAATTTTTCTCCCCTCTTTTGTCACAACAATGTGAACCAGAAACTCCAAGTCGACAGTCTTGCTGCGTAGTTAGAAAACGATGGTGGTTTAGAAATTTTCCTCCGCCTTACAGCTTAATATACTTTCAAAACCCAACTGACTCAAGTTTTATTAAAAGGAACGATTTTTCTCCCTTAGATAGTTCAAGTTATCAGGGAATTGAACAATCAGTTTGGATTCTAAAGTTGCTTTATTGACATACTTTTATGTTATTTTATCTACAATAATAGATACTGATGTTCTTTTTTCTGCATGGGTTTTTGATATACTTCTATATTAATATCACTTTATAGGATTCCACCAAGAGAAAATAAAAGGTCCTATCATTTTGTCACAAAACAACGAAAAAATACAATTTACTCCTTCTTACCAAGAATTAAGGCGCAAAATGCTTTACACCAGCAAAGGCACATTCATGGCTGTGTTTCTGATGAAAACAGAAACGA